CATTAGTATGATTAGTAGCATTTTTCATCTCGCATGCGTTACACAAAGCTTTGGCAGAATCAATGCAATGTGCAGTGCAATGCTTTGGCAGAATCAATGCAATTTGCAGTGCAATGCTTTGGCAGAATCAATGCAATTGTCCCATGTGTGGCACACAATTTTTGGTAGTGGAGCATGCTTTGCTCATGATGATCTTCCCATCATAGACAGCTGATCAAAATGAATAGACAGCTAGTTGCCATGAATTTAACTTATTAGCGTTTGGAGAGTCGTTTTTTTGGGGTGTTGGATGTGGCCGTGCCATTGGGATTTGCGTTTTAGGGTGTGGCATCGAAGCGCTGTTTTCGTGACAAGTCTCAGCTGAAATGGTGATTTTGGTGGATGGGAGTGTGCTCAGAACGGCGAAATCATTCCAAACGTGTGGCGTGGTGCAAATTTTGGTGAAGCTCACATGAGATGACATTGTCACTTTTCGTGGTAGGCGCAGTGCTTTGTGCACGCTTTGAGGTATGGAAGCGCGATTTTCGTGGCAGGCACAGGGAATCGTGAGGTTGCGAGGTGACGGAGGTGACATTTCGTGGCAGGCACAGTACTTTGCGCGCGTTATAGACGTGTGGACGCGGAAAGATTCGTGGCAGGCAGGGAGTCGTCAGGTTGTGAGTTGTTGTAGAGATGAATGTCGCTGTCCCATTGGGATTGGCGTGTGAGCGGGTGTTGTTTGGGGGGGCTGGAATCGCGAAACTGCTTGGCAGGGCTGCGTGACGTGTGTGCTCTGATGGGTGTTTCCGCTTGACTTTTGGAGGATGTCTCGTACGAAACGCTCGTTTTGCAGACTTTGACATGTGAGTTTTGGAGGATGTCTCGAACGAAAGCTTCTAGTGTGTGGGCAGACCGTGTGGCGACACGACGTTCGTGATGTCACAGTGCCATTAGGATTCGCGCAGCCTTGGTGGAAAGTGCGTTTGCGTGGCGCCGTGCCACTGGGGAGTGCGAAACAGGCTGGCGTAAACGCGGCGTGTCGCTGGTGAGCGGGATGATTTGTGGTGTCATGTGACATGTTGGCTTCTAGTGTCTGGGCAGATCGTGTGGCAACGCGACGTTCGTGATGTCGCAGTGCCATTGGGATTTGCGCGGCCTTGGTGGAAAGTGCGTTTGCGTGGCGCCGTGCCACTGGGGAGCGCAAAACAGGCTGGCGTAAACGCGGCGTGTCGCTGGTGAGCGGGATGATTTGTGGTATCAAGAGTGTCCCAAAAGAGTGCGCCGCCAGAGCTTCCTACAAGAGTGACCCACAAGAGTGTCCTACAAGAGTGTCCCAGATAGAGTGTCCCACAAGAGTGTCCCGTATGAGTGTCCCACAAGAGTGTCCCGCAACCGTGTCCCACAAGAGTGTCCCACAAGACTGCCCTACAAGAGTGTCCCACAAGAGTGTCCTACAAGAGTTTCCTACAAGAGTGTCCTACAAGAGTGTCCCACAAGAGCGTCCCAAATGACCCACAAGAGTGTCCTACAAGAGTTTCCCACAAGAGTGTCCCAGAAGAGTGACCCACGAGAGTGTCCTGTAAGAGTGTCCCACAAGAGTGTCCTACAAGAGCGCCCCGTAAGAGAGACCCACAAGAGTGTCCCACAAGAGTGCCTCACAAGAGTGTCCCTTAAGAGTGTCCTACAAGAGTGGCCCACAAGAGTTTCCTATCCCACAAGAGTGTCCCACAAGAGTGTCCTACAAGAGTGTCCCACAAGAGCTTCCTACAAGAGTGTCCCACAAGAGTGTCCCACAAGAGCGTCCTACAAGAGTGTCCCACAAGAGTGACCCACAAGAGTTCCTACAAGAGTGTCCCACAAGAGTGTCCTACAAGAGTGTCCCACAAGAGTGTCGCATAAGAGTGTCCCACAAGAGTGTCCTACAAGAGTGTCCCACAAGAGTTTCCTCCAAGAGTGTCCCACCAGAGTATCCCACAAGTGTGTCCCACAAGAGTGTGCTGCAAGAGTGTCCCACAAGAGCGTCCCAAATGACCCACAAGAGTGTCCTACAGGAGTGTCTCTCAAGAGTGTCCCAGAAGAGTGACCCACAAGAGTGTCCTATAAGAGTGTCCCACAAGAGTGTCCTGCAAGAGCGCCCGGTAAGAGAGACCCACAAGAGTGTCCTACAAGAGTGTCCCACAAGAGTGTCCCGCAAGAGTGTCCTACAAGAGTGTCCTACAAGAGTGTCCCACAAGAGTGTCCCACAAGAGTGTCCAGCAACAGTGTCCCACAAGAGTGTCTCACAAGAGTGTCCCTTAAGAGTGTCCTACAAGAGTGTCCCACAAGAGTTTCCTACAAGAGTGACCCACAAGAGTGTCCTACAAGAGTGTCCCACAAGAGTGTCCCACAAGAGTGTCCCACAAGAGTGTCCCACAAGAGTGCCCTACAAGAGTGTCCCGTAAGAGTTTCCTACAAGAGTGTCCCACAAGAGTTTCCTACAAGAGTGTCCCTCAAGAGTGTCCCACAAGAGTGTCCTGCAAGAGTGTCCCACAAGAGCGTCCCAAATGACCCACAAGAGTGTCCTACAAGAGTGTCATTTGGACATATGTAGCTTTTCGAACGTGTTTGCATTCGGGTTCGTGGGCTCTGGGCTCCATTTTGTTTTTTTCCGGGGGGGCGGTTAATAATTAATAGTGTTGGTTGGAGGTGTCAGTCAAAGGAATTCTTGTTGAACAAGGCCTGCAACTGAACCATCATCCGGGCCAAAAAGGTGTCTGGGATATACCCAACACTGGATGGATTTGGAACTGTCGGGCAGCTTCGCTACTCCTGGAGATTTGCCACTTGTGCTCCGTGTGAAGATGGAACTGTGCCGAACTGTGCAACAGCCACGCGCGGCTTCTGTCCGAAAAAGGAGGGCGCTGCCGTGTTGCATGCGGTTCCGTATTTAAGCTCGGTTTGACCGTTTTTTCAACGCAACATCCAGTCAACCGGACTTCTTGTTTGCTGTGTCTGCCGTCGCCAAGTACTCGTTGACTGACACCGGACCGGTTCACCGAAGCTGTCAGGTCGCCAGAACCGGTTCATCGAAGCTGTCCGGTCTCCCCAGCTGTCGGGTTGCTCGCTGCCGGAGACTGTCACTCTGGGTCCCAGACACGACTGGACTGGTGTAGTTACCGGTGGTCTTTTGGGCGGCCTCAAATATGGCATACCTGTGGAGTGTCTAGGGATGGGGGGCTAACATCTCGGGACAACAAAAGCAGCTCCTGTGTGCTAAGCGGAGGGGTTCGACTGGCGATCCGCCGTCTTCAGTGATTTTCACCAACGGGGGCCGGGCTGACCTACGACACCCAATCGGTTGGTCGAGTGATAGGAATCAAGTGAACAACCAACAGGTATGGTGGCGCCCAAATAGATAGTGGTAGGGTGTCCAAAACATTTTGATATACTAAGTTTGGCGCTTCTACATGGTACCTAAAATCCTCCCATCTACTGTATGTTTTCCGTCGAGGCAGCTGCGCAATGCTGCGCCCCTCTTCCTTTTGCCGCGGCCAGGGAGAACGCTTTGCAGTACTGGACCTTGAGGCGCGCATTGCCTGGTTGCCTGGGTCACTGTGAAGATTGTCGCTCTGGGTCTTGATGACGTCATGTCTCCACGAGAATGTTTGGACATGTCTCCAGGTGCCAACCCTGCCGCCCGACCTATCTCATAGAGGCATAAGGCCGGAGTGCCGGTTCGAGAGCAGTTGATCTTGCGTTACCTGCCCTGGTAAAAAAAGGTTCCGTGCCTGTCATGTTTTGAGACAAGTGGGACACATGAGTCGACCGAGGAAGGCGTTTTTGCTGGAAAACGGATGCACTCACCCGATGCGAAACGAGGCGAGACGAGGCGGTGCCTTGGTGCCTTGACCGAGGCAACGCCTCACACCATGATTTGGTTGGATATCCCGATGTCATCCGACTCTTTGTCAACAAAGCACCAGAGGGTCATTGGTTTCTTTAGCCAAGATGGAAAGGACATCTGGTGAAGGACCACCATTGTCATGGCCTGGACGTTCTGTTGCACATTGCTTTGTTCCAAGACATGCATGGCTGCTGGTTGCACCTGAATATACCATCCACCTCTTGAGATACAAAAGCGTTGACCCCCCAAAAACTTGCAGTGCCTTGCCATGAAGCCTGGCTTGCTCCATGAAAAAACGCTGGCTTCTTCCACGACCCCCCCCCCAAAAAAAACATGGGAGTCAAAACCACGTCGACCACGACGGCGACCGGCACACGCGCGTCGTCCGTCCGTCGATGAAGGACCGCTGCGGGGCACGGGCGGTGTCCGCTGCGGTGGCCTGGCCGCAGTGAACGGCGTGACGACGTTGCCGGCGAGACAGCAACTGATTACTGACGACGTTGGGCCACATGGTGAAGTCTGAATTCGAGTGGCAACAGCGGACAGTTTGGCTTCATTCAGCAGTGAGGGCGTCGAAGCCTTGATGTTGCTTCAGATGTTTTGTCTGTCAATCTCCACGAGGTGTAGGGCCAGCCACTTTTACGGAGATGCAGCCGGGGTTGCCTGGCGCGTGCCCCCAGCTGTGTGACACAATTTCACGGGGGCTAAGCCTCTCAGATCCACGTTTAGCCAAAGGGAAACCACATAAATCATCACCAAACACTTCATTCTTGAGATAAAATTTGACTATGATAGATGTTGTCCTTGGGATTCATGATGGTGTCTTGACCTCAGGTGGTATGATGATCACAACCTCACAAGCATTAGCTGCAAGTTCTTGTCCTGCAAGCAGTTCCACAGTCGATGTTGACTTAGCACTTCATGCACCGACGGTGGGTTTTTTTCATCAATGGGAAGGCCTTACAGAAAAAAAAAGGATGGTCGACTCCAACTTCTTACTGCAGGAACTCAAAGTCATGTTTTCACCTCGAGTTCCCCCTTAGCTGGCTTCACCGAATGCGCCGACACTGAGGCAATGATGCGAAGGCACTGAGGCGAGTGTCAGAGACTTGCTGAGGTGGAATAGGGTTCAGGGAGTGACTGAGCATTGTGGAGGGGTTTGATTAGTTTGTTTGCTTGGAGGCCATCGCTATATAGTAGGTTGAAGGCCATTGCCATTAGTTCTATGTTCAAAACGGTGGATCATACTCCGGTGGTTGTTTCATACTCCGGGCAGGTGTCAAACCGATGCATGGCTCCGAAGCGTCCGAAGGCTCAGCTTGTCTCACCCGCCCAGCTCTGAGACGCGGCCAGCTGGCCAAGCTGCCTCCCAAGCACGTGCCTCCGAAAACCATGGGCTGCGGCTCTTCGGTAACAACTCCAGGCGATGCACCATCCCCCGAGGCTTCCGCTGCAGCCGTGGTTCCGGCGCCGCGGCGCCAAGCGCCGTCCCGAGCGAAGTTTCCGCGCGGCCTGTTTTCCATGCAGGTTTCGAAGTCGAGTGGAAAGGTGGAGGAGCAGATCCGGGAGGTGCATCGGATTTTGCACTCACAAGGTTATGATGTGCTCATCGTGGATGGAGAGGGGCAGAGGGAACATCATTTGAAGAAGATCAAGGAGGGAGGTGTGTTGCTGGCAGTGTGCACGAGCGACTATGCTGAGAGCGATGGTACTGGTGCTCCAAACAACAGCTATTTTGACCTGAATTTTGCGCACGAAGAGGAGATTCCCGTTTGGCCTCTGAGGATGGAAAACATTTATCCACCCATACCTGCTTGGGGCACCCGAAATTCCAAAGACCCCTCCGGCGATGGTCCGGCCCTGATCGCTTTGGCGATTGGCCCCCACAGCTCTTCCTTGAAGTATTTGGATTGTCGCGAGAAGACGGCAGAAGACATCGCCAAGTCCATTGCAAAAGGCCTCATGAAACCGGGTGAAGCCGACGGCGAAGCCGACGGCGAAGCCGACGGCGAAGCCGGTCGTAGCTCAGCCGAGTGAGGGCGATTCTGTGAGCTTTGGCGCCCGTTGTGTACCCCCTTTCAAGTGTTAGAACTGCTTGTAAAAGGATGGCATTCCACGCTTGTAAAAGGATGGCGCACGTTTTGTCAGGGCTTCAAGCATCTAACATGGGGATTCTAACAAGAAAGTGAAACTAGGGACCAGTACCATTGAGAACCAGTGGGATGTTTGCTGATGTTTGTGGTGATCGATTCCACGAGACCATCGGTTGCACCCAATAGGGCAAAAAACATGCCATTTGGAGGCCACTATATATGGATGGATGAAATATGATGAAATGGTGGAGGTTCTCTGGTCCACAGTCAAAATCATATGTTCTTCAGTGTATATTTTGTTTGGACAAAAACTATATCAACCTCTATCAACCATATAACCAGCAGTTGATTTTGATGCACTGAAAGCTGTTGGGTCACCTGGTGCGCCTTGACACACCTGGCCGTCCAGTACAGTCTGACGAGTTTGGTTTACGTCAAGCCGGCCACGAACAAGTCGTCGGAGTCTTCTTGACTTTCAGAGAACACTTTCTGGGAGATAGTAACAAAGGGCATCGCTACCAACGGAGCAAGGACGCTACTAGTAGCTCCTGGCCTTACTACTAGTAACAAGAAGCTACTAGTAACAAAGGGATCACTCTCTTTCATTGAACTCGATGGAGGTAGATGTCATCTAAAGCCAAAGTAGACCTGAGACCGATAGTGAGGGACAGTACGAGGGAAAGATGGAAAGGAAAGTGACGATTTAAATAGCAACTGGTGCTGCTTCCTAACCTGCACCACTCACGTTTCACAGCTCTTCGTAACTTTGTGGCAGGTGCGAGGAAAGACATGGGGGAGGACGGATGGGGCGGACTTGGAGACGGGTGCGACGGCGGCTTGCGCCCATCCATGTTCATTCATGTTCATTCCAACGTGGTGAACTGAGAAGAAAAGCTGCATGTTTTCTGCATTTTGTTTGACTCCATGTGTCATCCATTGAGTCATCCATGTGACGAAGTGGGGCCTTTTCTACCCACAAGAAGCGGCCGCCCCGTCCTAACAAGCAGGATGAGTCGGGACCAGGCACTGACCAGGCACTGACTGGGCAGTGTGGGACGTCCGAAATATGAAGAACTGGGAACTGCCACGAGAAATGGTTGGTTGGTTGGTTGATTGGTTGATTGGTTGGTTGGTTGGTTGATTGGTTGATTGGTTGGTTGGTTTGTTCTGGTTTGGGTGGGATGAATAGACGAGCGATAGCTGACTTGATCTGATGAGAAGGGGTTGAAAGGGCGTGGTTAAGGCATATGGCATATGAAGGCTATTATAAAAAATACGGCCTCGGATTAGAAAGACAGCCTATTGTCTCCAGGGATATAAATTTGTTTAGGTATCTAAAAAGAGATATCACTGGGGTTGAGGGTACGTATATAAGCAAAACACTTTTGGTCAGCTTCCATCAGTGGATTTGTATGCTTCTTGAACTCAACATGACTTCCTCCGTCTCAACGGAGACGCTGCCGCTTCAGCTGTTGGCGGACTGGTCGTCGTCAGAAACGGGGATGGTCGAGTTGCTTGCAGCCAGTTTTTGTGATCGAGTCGGGTTGTTCCTCGAACCTCGCTTTCTCCGCGGGCCAGTCGTACCCGTTTTCTCCACTCGCGAAAGACTTGTGGGTCGAACTCGACTCGGATTTGGATCAAAAAACGGGAACGGCCATTTTCCGGTCGTTTTTCGACTCGTTTTCCGGTTGTTTGGTGTGGATTTGCTTCACACCGGAAACGACCCGAAGCTGTGAACGGCACGGCCGTTTGCTTCGGCCCGACCCAGGGGCTCCCAACGTTGCGCGCCGTTGCGAACGTAGCGACCGAAGCTTCGGAATCGTAGCTTCACCTGAAGCTGTTAGCTAGATCGAAGCATTCTTTGTTTTTTTGCATCACCCGTTTCGTAGCTCGATCCGTCCGAACAAGGGTCGAACTCGTCTCATCTCGTCCAGGCGGCCTCAGCCACGCAAGGACGACTCAAGGTGCGGAAAGACACCTGAGCTGTGATGTCATGCACCTGGTAACTGGCTGCTTTTGAAGTAGGTCATACTGTACTTGTCGTGGTTCACTCAGCCACAGACAACATCCATGAAGTGCTGATCATCCAGTGCTGCAAACAAACCAAACTGTACACAGTGGTTTTTGGCCAACTAGCTTTAAGCCACACAGTGGCATTCCTGGCACGTCGCGATGGTCGAGCGTGTGGACAAGAAGAAGAAGTATAGCTGCAGTGCAGATCCGGCCATGGTGAAACATCAAAGGAAGCTGGAAAAAGCCGAGTGGGATGTGAAGCAGTTCTTGATGAAGAACAACTTCCCGCAGAATCCCAATGGCCAGAAGGGTAAGTTCTTTGTGACCTTTCCACTGCATGAAGCAGTGAAACAGAACAATCCATACATCACGTGGGCACTTCTCATCTTCGGTGCACGTCCCAAAACCAAAGATTGGTGGGGCCGAACGGCTTACGAGTACGGTGGTCGAGCAGTCCGCGAAGTCTTTCAGAAGCTGGCTATCTCTCCCACATCCCCGAAAAGGTCGGGTTCCAACCTGATACGCTTTCCACCGCCATACGGTTGGGAGCGTTTCTTCGCAAGGCTGGGGAATGATCCCTTGACCGTACCAAACCGTGAAGAACTATGGTTGCAGGAACTTGGAGACGGGGCATTGCGCTGAAGATGTTCCTCGTGCTTGTTTTAACAATTCGGTGATCAACCGTGTTCCGTTTTAGACTTGTTGGCAACAACCGGCCTTTTCGGTTCAGTCTTCATTTTCTCCCCGTACTACCACAAGATGGATGTCTCGTCATACTTCCAACAAGGACTTGGTGACTTGGGTATCTGGGGGGGGGGCTCTTAAGAGCCAGGCTCTTCAGACACGCAGACGACTCACTTGTCCTGAGGTTTCGGCTTTGCGCGCAGATCTTGGGTGACTTGCCGTCTCTGCTCGCCTAAACCCGGAGCATCTCACATCTATCCGGAGCGTCCCTGATGTAGCTAGTAGCAAGAATGCTCCTAGTAGCGTCCTTGCTCCTAGTAGCGATGCCAGGAGCCCCGTTCGTAGCTTCTTGTTCCTAGTAGTACCCGAATATGTTGTCATTTGAGCCAGGAGTTTTGCTTGAAATTAGATGAGTATATACAAAACATGAGCTATGAAAACATGGTGTCAAAACCTTAAGAGTACAAAAATGGCTTCCCTTCAATCTTAAGGATTTGCCAGGAACCTATGCTCCACTATGTAGACAAATCACCTTTGGGAATGGTTGTGTGGGTGAATGTAGGTCGATCATTTTATATACAATATTAACTATCCCAGACACTCCATGCATGGCGTATAGGGTGGTTGACCTGGAGTCAATGTACGTAAACATGCCATGCATGGAGTGCTTGGGTAGCGAAGAAATCATCCACCAGTGCAGCATTCAATCGACGGTTTAGGCTGAGCATTCAATCAGGGGAATGCGATATCGTGCCAAGCCGGTGACAAAGACAGGTGACACAGGGGGCGCCGTCTCCACATGCTTTGTGACTGAGCTGTCAGCGTTTCGATTGATGTTACTTAGTCAATGAGAAAACAATTGAGATGCAAAGATCACTCTGCAGCAGAGGGTATCGACCCCACAAATTTGCCTTGCGCCAGGATTGCAGGATTAAACATACCGAGGTTACCTATTTGGGATGCATTAATCGTTGGAGCTCGCAACACACGAAGGGTGGTGTGAATCAAGAGCCAATTTGTAAGAGGTTCTAAGGTTTTTTGCTATGTTCTTCAGTCCAGCGTGTGCCTACCAAACTGACAAACAAGTAGGATTGGCTAGCCGGCTAGCTGATGGAGAATATTCAGTACCGCGTGAACATGGTGAGACTCATTGATTCATTGTTTGCTCTTGGTATGCACTGTACTGTCGGATGTCGGGATGTGAATCTGATGTGCGGGTATCAAAACCGTTGTGGAGAGTCTGTTGTGGCCAGTAACTTGCAGTTTTGAAGAATGGCCCCTCCAATTCCACCCCCAGCCCACGAACCTTGCCCCAGAAAAAGCCGACTCGCATGGAACGGGGGTGTCTCCCGCAAATCCAAACCGTTTGGCGACCCTGCGAAGGTCGCGACCGCGACTCGCGACCGGGACTCGCGACCGGGACTCGCCGTACGCACCGAAGGGAACCCATGCTTCGCTAGGCTTGAAACCACGTAGCACGGGCACGTCTTGGACCGAAGCTGATAGATAGATAGATATAGGGATACGATACGGCTGTATCACCGAGGGGACACAACACGGACAGCCGCAGCACAGGGAGAGGGCCAAAGCTGTCCTTTTGGTGCCCAAGATCGTTGCCTTTCGCCGGTCATGCACGAGAGAGCCAATGGTATGACAAGAATTCGTTTTGCGTGAACTGAGTCATTGTCCTTGATTGGTCGCTTGGGTGTTTTTGTTTCTGTTTTGCAGGGTTCAACGTGTGTGTGTGTGTGGGTATGCTTGTGTGTGTGAAGTTTTAAGTCTTTAAGAGCCCATCTTGCTGTGTTGATGATTACAATTCTGCAGCTCGTTCTGACTTTGCCTGGACCCAGGAACAACCCTTTGAACAACAGAGTTGCTTCTAGGTTGGAGGCCATCGCTGGTAGGTTGGAGTCGATTCTTGAAGAGGTCTTGGTGAGGGAAGTTGGACATCGATTTCATGCCATGTCACGAAAGGTAGCTTGAGCTACCTGAGTTCTCCTTGCTTTAGCAAAAATGTATTACAATCAGGAGTTGGGATTGTGCATTGAGTTTGGTCCTGTAAGAGTTGATTCTGTTCGTCGGGCCCCCCCCCCTGGATCAAATCCCCCCTGCGCTGGTTCACGCCGTCATGGACTTCTACCAGGGTTACTTGTGATTGCCTGCTACCTTTCGTTCACCCCTCCTCTCTCAAGTTTGCCTTCCGCAGAGATTCGCCAGATGTCTTAAGTCTACTAAGTCTACTATCAATCAATGTTTTTAGTGTGTTTTTGCCACGACCAACATGGCACGACATGCCTCAAAGCAACGCTGGCCGCTGGGGTGCACCACTCGACCG